CAAGAAATTTTTGGCGACCAACCACTTTGAAAGAAGATGGAGAAGATATTTTCTCTCTCTAGTTTCAGACATTCTAAAATTCTTTGTCCAACATGCTCTTATTTCGAGTCAAGAGTTAGATTAATATACAGTTCCAATTCCACTGATTGAGGCGGTCGTAAAGCCTGGGAGATTGAAGACCAAGAAGGGAATTATTTATACCAAACATCCTTCTTCCGATTAGATTCAATCTTATGGTCCTTCCAGAAAGAAATCTGAATTTCACATATTTCTGTTTCCTTGGGTGTATAGACTTTTTGGGGGTAAATTACAAATTTCCCCCCTTAAATTTGGGTCTTTTGCAATCAACTCCCTTAGGTTTCTGTCAATAAATTACCCCTCAAAATTTCAAGAGGTGTGAATTGACTGAAAAATTCTAAGGAAATATAAAATATCATTACACCCTCCTAGTCTACATTGTTTGCCCGTATGTTTTCCTGCAATACTCATTACATTCTCAAAAATTAAATCTTTAAAAAAATTATATAAAACATAAAAGATATATACAATACATCATCCAAAATCAACACACATCACCCATCATCGTCAACCAACTCCAACTTGAACAGCCAAAGCAAAAGAGTTGGTTTCATCAACTTTTTCAGTGAACTCCCTCATCCAAAATAATGCATAGCAGCCACCACCTAAGCATTATCACCTACATTTGCACCTCCACAGCAAATCTGATAAACCAAACAAATGAACAAACAACCCAGCTCAGAACACCTAAAAACCTTCACATCCCTTTACAACCCACAACCAACTACCACCAAGAACCAACCCAACACCAAGAAAAAGAACACACGTGCAACCCAAAACCACATCCACCTTCACCTCCAACGACAATTCACAAAACCAAAACTATCCTATCCACACACAACCAAGCATAGGCCAGAGCAGAATTCGAAGCAAATATTTGTGGCAGTAACCAAGCCATTTGTGGCGTAATTCCTTTAAGGGTTAATAGTATTTTTAGTACCAGAATTTGTGTATGTGTATGTGGGTGTGGGTGTGTGTGTGTGTGTGTGAGAGAGAGAGAGAGAGAGAGAGATGGGGTTACAGCGGTTGTGTTGTTGGAGGTTAGAGGGAGGGTACAGGGAGATGGGGAATGAGGTTGCACCACGGAGAAAATAGGAGAAGAAAAGGGGGGTCCCCGACAGTTGTTGTGGGTCAAGTGGGGAGTACAGAACTTTTTTAAAATGGGGAAAGAAAATTTGACAAGGGATACTTTTGTCTTTTAAACAAATTGGAGACCACGTGAGTACCACATGACTATTTTGTCACTTTTAACGGCCGAAAATTAACGATGGGAGTTAATTGAAAGTTTAACAAATTTAAAGGGGGTCATTTGTCAAAATTGAAACCTGAGAGACTTAATTAAAAAACACCCAAAATTGAAGTGGCAATTAGTAATTTACTCTGAGTACGGTAAATTAATGAATGACTTTTAGGGTCGTGGAAGACTTAGTGTTTTGCATTAAAGTGTTGGATAATGACTTTACCGTGGAAGGCACGATATTAAGTTGCAAGAGTTAATGATGAAAGCGATTTGAACGAACGCAATTTGACTCGTGGAAGACACGAGTCATATTCTGAGAAAAGTAAATTATATTTTAACCCTTAAGCTATTACTTTAATTTTATACCCTTAATTATAAAAATTTTCACATTATATTTTTAAAATATCAATTTTATTTCATATCACTCTAATAGATAATATTTGTCAATTTTTTGATGATAAATGAGTATGTGAGTGGTCTGTACTATCAATAAGCAACTGCTTATTACACATGTACAGATCAAAAAACAAGGAAAATACTCATCCATAAACTCCAACTCTGGCCGACTTTTTTTTTTCTTCCTAACAATCATTTGATTGCAAAAAAAGTAAAATAAAATGGTACTGGACACTTAACGAGAAACTCTTTGAGATTTCTCTCTCTCTTTTGATAGATTTTCAAATTTACGGTTATTTATTACACTGATATGAAATAAAATTGATATTTTATGGTATAATGTGAGAAATTTTATAATTGAAATGACAAAGTAAAATAAAGATAGTAGTTCAAGGGTTAAAATATAATTTAATCTTCTAAAGAGCTACAAAATTTCAAAAAAAATGAACAAAAATGTTTTGAGAGCGTCACATTATCTGCATAAAATAAATAAAAATTACTAAAAATATATATAATTTAAAAATTAAATTTAATGCACAATTATATACCAACCTATTTAATTTTTAAATATATATTAATTACAAGATTTCAAAATGAGTATCATTCAAGTTTGACATACGTTTTATCCAAAAAGTAAAAAATTAAGATTAAATAAGTGTGATAAGAACTCTAAAACAACTATAAATTTACAAATCAAGCAAATACATAAATTAGTATAAAGTGCGGGTGTGAATTTTGTAGCAAAGCCCAAGAACAAAGCTTGTTCTGCACAAGTCAAAAGAATTGAGACAAAATGTCTAACACATGATATACAAATTTCAAACAACATGGAAAAACACGGTCAAAAGTTATTTTCTTAGAAAAGTATTTCCCAAAGACTTGATGAACACACGACAAGATAAATTCAGCACTTGCTAGTTATATTTTATGCAACAAACCTCAAACTTCCCAACCCAAGTTTACCTTTGAGCCATGGCTGCAACTGTAAGTAGCTCTTGGAATATCTCTTTTTTCTTTTTTCTCACAATCCCTTTTGCTTCTGCCCTGTACTTCAACCTCCCCAGGATCGGACCTGAGGATGCTAATCGCTCCATAAACCTCACCGGAGATGCTTATATTTCCAAACAAGGCATCCAAGTCACCCCAGACGAACGCAACACGGACTTGGGAAAAAAAGCTGGTCAAGCCACTTATAAGGAACCACTGCACTTATGGGACAAGTCTTCAGGAAACCTGACGGACTTCACCACCCATTTCTCTTTCGTAATTGATTCAAATGGAAGTATTGACTTGGGCGATGGGCTGGCTTTCTTCCTGGCTCCTGTCAATTCCGCCATCGGCCAAGCCGGGGGTAACCTCGGTATTGGAAGCGAGGATCTTAACACAAGCTCACCTGCGAGTCCATTTGTTGCAGTGGAGTTTGATACTTTCCAGAATAGCTGGGATCTCTCTAGAACACATGTAGGTATCAATATCAATTCTATGAGATCTGTTAATAGTATGAGATGGTCGAATAATATTACACTAGGGCGAGAGAATAATGCTTCGATTAGTTATAATTCTAGTTCCAAAATTCTCAATGTTGTCTTCACTGGTTTTTCAAATAATAAAACCCAACAAGATAGCATTAGCTATATGGTGGATCTGAGGAATTATTTACCAGAATGGGTTACTTTTGGGTTCTCAGCTGCGACAGGACATTTGTTTGAAAAAAACAATGTTAAAACATGGGAGTTTAATTCGAGTTTACCAGTTGATACCGATTTAAGAACGCCAACTCCAACTCCAAGCCCAAATCCAGAACCCATTATAATTGTCAGCGGAGGAAAGAAAAACCAAATAGGATTAGTGGTGGGGTTGAGTGTCGGTCTCAGTGTTTTGGTTATGATCGCGGTGGCTTTGGTTGGTATTGGCGTGTGGAAAAAGAGGAAAGCCGAACAAGAAGAGTTTGTCATTGAGTCGTCCATGAACGACCAATTCGAAAGGGGTAGTGGACCTAAGAAGTTCTCATATGGAGAATTGGTTCGTGCAACAAACAACTTTGCAGAGGAATTGAAACTTGGAGAGGGAGGGTTTGGTGGTGTTTATAAAGGTTTCTTGAGGGAGTTACACTCCTATGTTGCTGTAAAGAGGATATCGAGAGGGTCCAAACAAGGGATAAAGGAGTATGCATCAGAAGTGAAAATCATAAGTCGGCTGAGGCATAGGAATCTGGTTCAACTAATTGGTTGGTGCCATGAGGAAAGAGAACTTCTACTTGTTTATGAATTCATGCCCAATGGTAGCTTAGATACTCATCTTTTCAAAGAAAAAAGCTTATTGACTTGGGAGGTAAGGTACAAAATTGCTCAAGGATTGGCCTCCGCATTGCTATATCTACACGAAGAATGGGAACAATGTGTGTTGCATAGAGATATAAAATCAAGTAATGTTATGTTAGATTCGAATTTAATTGCAAAACTCGGGGATTTTGGGTTAGCTAGGATGGTTGATCATGGAAAAGGATCTCAGACGACTGCTCTGGCAGGGACTATGGGCTACATAGATCCTGAATGTATCCTTACAGGTCAGTCTAGTAAGAAGTCAGATATATACAGCTTTGGAATTGTATCATTGGAATTAGCATGTGGAAGAAAACCCATAGATCACAATGCAACAGAAGGTCAGATAAGAATGGTTGAATGGGTTTGGAATCTTTATGGAATAGGTAAGCTCCTTAAAGCAGCTGACTCGAAACTATTTGCAGAGTTTGATGAGCAAGAAATAGAACATTTGATGATTGTGGGGCTTTGGTGTGCTCACCCAGATCCTAATCTCCGGCCTTCAATCAGGCAAGTGATTCATGTCCTAAATTTTGAAGCTCCGTTGCCTGTTATTCCATCCAAAATGCCAGTGCCAAAGTATTTGTCTCTGTCAGGGTATACACCCACTTCTTCACAACCATTTTCCTATGGCACCACTGTATCTGAGAGTAGTCGGAACCAATCTTCAAGCTATAGCTAGAACACCGATTCCTCAAAGTTGACCACATCTTCTGCAACTTTTTTGTCATCTGCATCACGTTTTCACACACGGTAGTTTCTGTTTGCCAAGTTTTTTAGATATTTAATATTTCCATTTTCTTTGTATCAAACATTAAATCAACTCTTAATTTTTAAAGATGTAGTCAATGTTAGTGTAATTCTCATGCTTGTATATTTAATCAATGTTAGAGAATTTATCACACTACGGTACATTTCTTTTACCCATGACTCCTATTCTTTTTTAAATTGTGCAGTGGGTAAATTTTTTGGATACAAATCCCTCCCAATATAGATATTGCCAGCAATTGGCAACCCTTCGTTCCCAATGTATTTTATTAAATTAAAAAGATTTATAAAATTAAGAGTAACATGTAGTCAATCGAATCTCTTCTGGTCAGCTTGTGCCACTTGAAGGGCCGGAGTTTCAAATGAGATTATGGGTTTGAAAGAATCAATCGAGCTTTGCTTTGGAAGCGAAGTGAAAGACACAAAAGAGAGAGAAAAAAAAAATCTTTTTAAATATGCCACAAAAAATTACATCTCGCGTTTTTAATTTTTTTGAAACTATCTTAAAACTGGCAAAAACATGTTATTAATGTTTCCTAAATTTCTGAGTTTTTGTTCCTAATTTTTGAAAAATTGAAAACAAAACTCTGATATCCAAACAAATTGTCTTGTGTTTTTTACATCTAAAAAAAAAACAGAAAGAAAAACTATTTTACATATACAAATCAATCATACCCTTATTTTTCAATGAAGACTGCGACTACCACACAAAGGAGGCTTGCAAGAAAGACTTTTTAAGTTATTAAAAAACTAATAATACTCCGATAAAAAGAATACTACCCAGCTATATCAAGACTTCTAGAATCCTATGGGTTCGTTTGTTTGTCGTATTAGAAATGAATGGATTGGATAAGAGATTTTAATCTAATACAATACAGATGAATAAAAAACAAGATTAGATGAAATATTAGAATAATACGTAGTTTTATTTAGTGTTTGACAATATACAACATAAGTGTTGGAACATTGAGGATACAATGTAAAAATTTTATTTTTTAAGGTACAAAATAAAATTTTTTAAATCTTTCAGGATTCAAAGTGCGAAAAAGCTCTTAATTTAAACAGTTTTACCACAGTTAATATGTAAATAATTAATTTTACCGTGGCTAAAATGTAAGTTAACTTAATTTGTTTTTGTGTAAATCATTCAGTTAAAATGTTTGACGTCGGATCGTCAAACCAAACAATTTGGACGGTTGTTGTGATTTATTGTTTTAGTAAATATTTTGTTAGTGTTAGTGTGATATAAATATAAATTATTAGTTTAACTGTAATCAAAATGTTTATCGTTCAATTTCCAATCTAATTAATATGAGTCGTTATTATGATCTATGGTTTCGAGAAATAAAAGATTAACGTAAGAACCCCAAAACAACTATAAATATAATATGCAAATAAGGTGAATTCATAAATTAGTATAAAGTGGGTGTCAATCTGCTCCCAAAGCGTGAATTTACAACTAACTTGGGATTAATTGTCATGTCTCTCTTTTGATTTTGACTATAATAAATAATGTTTATCAAAAGGTGTATATAAATTTTTTTTGGAAGTCTTTGTTAATCCATCCAATTTTCGTCCTTCCATTTTTTTTTCCCGAATCCTTCTTTGAAATCTTCCATCATTTTCCTGATTTCATCCATTTATTCATTTAAATTTACCGTCATAAAGGCCAATTTGGTGTAATTTGTTTTCTTAAGGATAAATTACACTTATGTTTCAAACTATCACCCTTTCTTCACTTTACTCCCTCAACTATCAGATTTATTATATTACACCCTAAGCTAACATTTTTATTTCACATCACAAATGTCTATTATTTTTTTAGATCGAAATCACTGACGTGTCAGAGTAAATTGAAAAAAAATCACATAATTTGGGGGTAAAATAAAATAACTTTTTGTTAAATATGCAATCTTCGATCTATAGTTACGACACTGATTCCTCAAAGTTCACCACATCTTCTACAACTTGTTCATCATTTGCATCACTTTTGCACACACAGTAGTCTTAGTTTGCCAGGTATTTGAGATTTTTAATATTCCATTTTCATTGTATCAAACATTAAATCAACTCTCAATTTTTCAAAGTTGTCAATGTTAGTGTAATTCTTATGTTTGTAATGTAATGAATTTTAATGTTAGATAATTTATAATTCGTCAAACAATATGAAAAATTCCATTGCTATGCATATCTTTCGCTCAAGACTCCAATACTACACCGTTCTTGTAAAATGCGGCGCAAACAAGTTGTTAAAAACAGCACATTATCTCAACATTTCCATATATGGATAGAATGTCTGAATCAAGAAGACCCAAAAAGAGAATAAAGAATCAAGCATGGCCAGGTGGTAGATGATGTACAAATTTATAGCTCGCAGTTGGGTGATTGCCAATTTAGACATGTCTGTAGAGATTGGTGCAAGTGTGCCTTTGGCCCGGAAAGGTATACAATTGATGTTGGTATCAGGTTGGACACTGATCTTCGTGCTTCTGTACCATTTTTGTTAGTCAAAAGGGTTAAGTCCTGGTATACTTTTCAGATACATTGTATGAAAGGAGTCAAAAGCTTCAAGAATGGTTACCTTTGCTTTAGATATGTCATCCATTGTAGTTGACAACCTCCCTCTAGCCGTTTTTAATGTGCCTTTAACTACTATCTACATTCCCTTAATTGGTTAATCAAATCTAATTTTTCTCCATGTATGTTATTCAATGTAAGATTGTGTACAAGATAGGCCTTGGCATAGCAATAAGATTACTTCATTGAAACCTAGATATCATGAATTTGAATTATCGACGCAGACTCTCGAGGGTAAAACTACTGCATTTAACACTAGCAATAATGATTAATAGAATTCATCAACAGAGCATAGTCCATAGAATTCATCGAGGTTAGCATCAACTTGACCCGGTTGCCCAAAATCTAATGCAATCAACAGAGTATTGAAATGGATCAAATGTAACCTTATAAGGATGAATCCGGCTACTGGTATCAGAAAAATTTATCGTTTCTCCTTTTTTTCATCCAATGAAACCGTGTGAATTTTTCTTAGTTTATAATTTCATTTATGTTCTAATGTTAAAGATCAGTGATTACTGATGGTACTCAGAATAATTTTCAAGCATGAGGTCGGATCAGGAGGTCAGACCAAGAGGTCAGACAAGCTGATCTGGATAAGAAGTCAAGAAAGACACGCAGAGCCCAGATCAGAGCTAGAGCTTCCCCCTCCCAGACGTGCCAACAACAGAAATGATAAGGAAACAACTAAATGATAACAGAAACTTGTTAGGTGGCAAAGAGCCATATTCAAGGCATAAAATCCTTAACCAGCTAAGATCCTCTCCTAAGATCAAGGAGAGTTCCTCGGATAAATAGCAAGGAGCTCAGTGCAGATCCCAGGGAATTAGCAACAGTCCTATAAATATTATGTAACTCCCCGAAGGCAAGAGGGAGACCCTAGTAACATATACTCCACCCTGTAAACTTTTTGAATAAGAAGAAAAGAAAAAATGAGCAAGAATCTCCATTGAATAGTGGATTAGCCGAACTCCTGAGCTGGTGAACCACTATAATTCTATTATGCCAATCCCCCGATTTCCCATACTTTACTAATCTTCGCTCTTTCGAGCCTTGAAGCTCAGATCTCAAGAAACAATTAATAATCATCACATCTGCTCATCACCATAAGTCTGCACCACATAAATTTACACCATCAGTTTGGCGCCGTCTGCGAGAAAGATTGTTCCTGGTATAATTACGCTGATCTTTCAGTAATTGATGGTCTCAACTCGTAACATGAGCAAAAGCCAAACCAATCTACCACGAATGCAAGAACAATAGGAAATCGCCAACGACAGACAGCCTGAGAACGTCCCAGGGACAAATCCCCCTATGGGGAATCCCCACGGAAATAATAAGTTGGAGGCCCTTCGTTGGTTAATCAACGCCTGATACAGTAGAATGAAGAGCTCATGAAGCTCTTGAATCGCCCTCAAGAGGCACGACCGGTCCAAGAAGGCCAGAATAACCCCCCTCACAGAGAGCAGCAATACCTCAATCCCCTCAGAGAAGTTGATGAATGAGGGGAAAATAGTCAAACTTGGGAACAAGATCCTCATTTACCCCTAAGGAATGGACACAAAGAAGAGGTGCAAAGTCAAAATGTTGGGGGTGAAAGAAATGATTTTCTCCCCTATCAACAGGAGAGGAGAGAACAGTACTGGAAACAGCGCTTTAATGGCATCCAGCAAGAGCTCAATCATATGAAGGAAGCTGTGAAGAGCAAGGCTCCAGTTACAATGGATGCCCTGGTGCAACAAACTGAGTCATCATTCACCACAGTCGTGTTGTATTTTCCCCTCCCCTAAAGTTCAGGATGCCACAGATAGAAGCCTTTGATGGGACAAAGGACCCCGTGGACCACCTAAATACTTACAAGAATCAAATGGAGCTCCACAGATACCAAGACCCAGTGCGCTGTAGAGCCTTCGCCATCACGCTAAAAGGGTCAGCCCTAGCATGGTTCAATAGGCTCCCCCCAGCCTCGATCTCCTCCTATAAAGAGCTTTCTATATCCTTCGTATCTCAATTCATAGGAGTTCGGATATACAGAAAATCGAGCTACCACTTATTGAACGTGAAACAAGGAACCCAAGAGAACCTCAGGTCTTACGTCAGCGGTTTAACTCGAAATCCTGAAAGTGGATGTCCCAGATGAGAAGTTTGCCATTACAGCGTTTATAGCTAGTCTAGGCGTGCAATCCAAAGACCTGATGTTCTCCATTTCAAAGAACCCTCAGACAAGTATTTTCGAGGTATTGGCTAAGGCAAAAAAATATATAAACGATGAGGAAGCTCTTCTCTCGAAGGTGGGAAGTTCATCTACACAAAAAGAAAAAGGGAAAGAAGAAAACA